CATACATACATACATACATACATACATACATACATACATACATACATACATACATACATACACTCATACACATATGCGCACGAGGTTTCCTTAGTACGTATTTTTGTATTTGAAAAAAAAAAAACATATTAAAAACATGTAAAATCGTAAAAGAGCATGAGGAGGGAAGTTCACATAGAAACTGGTTTTATTTCAAAAATAATAAAAGCTTACGAATAAAACTATATAGAAAGTGGTGAGCAGCAAGCAAATTAGAGCCACTCTTGCCCGCCCTCCTCGTCCCCTTCTTCTTTCCCCTCCACTCCACCACCCATCCCGGCCTGGCTCATGTCCAGTTTAGGATGTAGCAGCAGTGGTGGTGGCTTGCTGATTATGCTATCGGATAGAGCTACTGCGAATGATGTAAGCACGATTGGCGATGACGTAAATGTTGAAACGTCAGAACTACATCGTAGCCATTGGCCATTGGACGAGTTCGGTGATGAGGCCAGTAAGGACCGTTTCTTTCTTCGAATTTAAAGGAGTCCTGAGAGTAGTTTCTGGATGGTCGGTAATCACTCCCAGGAAGACGTGCGCGAGAGGGGAAATTCACATGTAATTTGAAGAAAGCGGCGAGACCTACGTACATCGGCAGAATTTCAAAATTGCACAGTGAGTTTGTGCAAATCTGAAAACACATTTAAAAAAAAAACAAAAGGGATAGTAAACAAACACACCGATCGAGTGATACGGCGCAATTAGCAAATCAATTTCCGATTGTTGATCTGCATGTGCAGTGCTTTTCATCTTTCCACCCGCAAATAATAACAACAGCAACACGCACGGAGACGTCTAACAAGTTATGTTTTTTTGTATCAAAAAAACAACCCATCATTCCTTTCGATATCAAATTAGTACAGATAACCCTTCCCCCTCATATTTATCAGTGGCACTGTCGTCGTACCCACGAGATTCAGCCGCGATGCTGAATAGGAATGTATACAACTAAATGGGCCGAAACACCCCTCGTTTGATACATCAGTAACAACGTCTTTATGCGTCATAAGTTTGACTGTAAGCAGCCGTCTAAAAAGAGAGCTATTTTCATGTACTTTCGCCTCGCGTAAAGTGTGAATCCGGAGAAGTTCTGACTTTGCTACGCATTGTCAAAAGGTGAAATCACGTCTGAGTGTAAGTGAATGTCTTTTCGGATAATTTGGAAACTGTATAATCTAGGAAGCCAAATTGCGAAACTGCGGCTTCTGAGTAAGCTCCAAGACAAATGAAAAAACACTCATTCTTATAAAAAACAGCTCGTGAAAGAAGTCTCAACCATGAGCTGAAGCCCAGCTTTGTAATTAGCTCTTATCCGCTGACGAATGGGCCTAAGGCATGCGCAAAAGCTTAAAAAGTATCTCATTTGGAAAGGAGCTCAGACAATTTTGAAATAGCGAGTAATAGCTCTGTGCAAGGGCTTAAAGACACGGCTAGGAAGCCAATGAGCTAAGCAGTCTAGGCGACTTTGTTGGTAAACATAGCAGTTACGATATTCGAGGAACGGGTCCAGACAAGCTGTTACGAGCCGATGGTCAGAATTTGAGCTTATAAAGTCTTAAAGTAAGATTTTTTTCATTTTCTCAATATCTGGTGCAAACCAGATCACTGGCTGATTTCCCAAGTAAAAAAATTTTAGAGTTACCACGACGGAAAATGGTCATAGTTATTACCTGGGGGAACCTGAATCTAAGAGCTATCAATCCTCTCATTTATCAAATGCATATTCACTGATATGAGCAGGATGGGAGTAGAATAGGAGGAAAAGAGGCAGCGGCCAAACCTGCCAGTTCAAAAGGCTATGGGAAATTACGTGGATGAGAGAAGCTCAAAATGAAGAATGGAGAAGTTGTCAGCTAAAGCAGTGGCGAGAAGAAATGCGACGATGAAACAACAGCTAATCGAGGCATCAAAGTGATTACTTTGACAAAGACCTTGAAAGGGAGCAGAAATCACACGGATCGTTTCACAAAACTATGGCAAGGTTGCATGGGCTACTTCTGTATGATGTTTGTGTTTTGAAGTTTCTGTAAGTACAGCTTTCATTGAAATATACGGATGAACATTTTTACAAGCAGCGAGTAGTGGTGATCGTATATATGGAAATAAGTATGGAACTGATAGGTAGCCGAAACTTAGAGGGAAGTTCTCCCAGACTTGCTGCAGGCAGATTCAGTATCCAAAAAGAAAAACAAGCGCATAAGTAATGCAATTTTACAAACTATGTTAGAGTTACTGCTGCAGAAGCCACTAATATGGTTTCGCTTGTTTGCAAGTGAATTTAGAAAGTGAGGGAGGAAGTGACGCACAAGCATGCAATGGACATTTCACTAGAAGAACACCACATAAGGAACTGTCTGCTTCGAATCCCACTGGGATTTATTAGAACTGAAAATGAGTTTGAACGTCTAAAACTAAATTTATTTGGTCTATGAACGAGAAATCTCCTGTGTGCTATAGTCGAATGTAGTTAGCTTTCCAAAGCGGGCAATTCCTAATGACCTCCTTTCAAGTGAATGACATCTGCTGCTCAGACTGGCAGCAATAATAGGAAAGTACAAATTTACGAGCACTTGAATCCAGCTTTTTCACACTCGAGAAGAAAATGCTCTCAAAGAGTAACTCAAAACACGCGGCTGCAACTGCTAATTAGTTTACAATACCAACTTGTACTGAGAAGCTTGGACAAAGGAAAAGAAAGCCCTCGCAAATGTTTTT